ATTCATCTATCAAGGGACTGAAAGAGTTGGTACACTTAGCTGCTGTTGTCGTTGTTGTCGTATCCTTTGTTGTGTTTTTTCACTACTAGTTTGGTTGTCCCTCTCCTCACAACCTTCCAGTCGCCTGAGTTTTCGTCATTTACCGGCTTTCCTTGCCTTATTTCTTCCTTTATCCTTGCCCTCTCTTCTTTTAATTTCAAGATATCTTCCTTGGCTCTCTCCATCTCGGCCCTCAGAAGGGCACAGCCCTGTTTACAATAGCACTTGTCATTACTGACAATTTATCCCCGGGAGCTAGGACGCTGTGACCTTTCCTCTAGCGAGGTCAGTACAGTTAAGAATTCATAATTCCTCACCTGGGTGGAGTAGGGAGTCCCCATTTCTCTCCTGGTGTAGTCTTTTTTAGCTTTTCATCCAGTGTTGGTGATGGTGTGTGTACCGCGGACTGGGTGTGTTAGGTCCACGTCAGGTCAACATTGACTGCTAAGCACTGATTGTCACTCTAACAGTTGTTTCTTTCTTTCCAGTTGAAATTGCCACTTTGTATATCAGTTGTGGGTTGGTCGTCAATCTTTGCACTGTACTGTTGGTAGGAGGATGTTCATAAATCCAGATGGGGAGGAGGAAAGGGAAGGGCCTGACAAACCAGGCTGGCAGCTGTCCCCAGGGTCAGGAGACCACAGGCAGCGCCGACGTCCTCACCCTATGAAGGCTGTGTGTGTGTGTGTGTGTGTGTGTGTGTGTTTTTTTTAGATGAATTTCTTACGTCTACTGTTACAATCCAATCAGAGGTTGAGCTTGCCAGGCAATATTGAAATGGATGTTAAACACACAAACTGGTAACGTCTTTCTTATGACCTCATCAGAAATGCAGTCAAAGGCTTATTGAGATTTTGCCGTTAGCTCTTGGAGATAAGAAGACTGACATATTCTTTTCCGGTTATTAATTACTTTCTAAAATATAAAACTGACAATAATTTCAATACAAACATCAGATTCTCTGATGATTGGAAATCAAAATGATCTAACTTCAGTATCAGCTTGGCACTCAGAGCGTCCCTATGGGCGATGTTAGGGCTTCGTTACTTCTACTGGCAGACTCTACACTGACTTATTAACAAGTTTCACTAACAGTAAATACAGTTGTGTCATGGTCACGTTGACTGCTAGTCTATTTAACTAATGATTCTTATTAAACTCCACGACAGCAAAACATGAGTGGGTTAGCGACCCCTGAGAAGACTTGTTTTTCCCCATAGAAGCTACACTTGTGTTCCCTCGCCTTTGTGAAGACAGTTGCCGATCAGTGTTTATTCCACTTTCTCCTGGGAAGCTCAATCTTGAATTAGTCTGTGTAAATCAACTCACGTAATTCGCCAGACCTTTGTCAACTGAGGGTCATCTTTGAATGAGTAACAGTTAGAGTTGTTTGTAATTATTATCATTGCATGAGTAGCGATCACTGGCAACTCAGGGATATATATACCCTGCATCGCGCAGGACGAGTGTCCCTTGACGCCAGCTCCAACATTTTTCTCCAGGTATGTTTATGTGTAGCCATTCAGTTTGATTCAGTCAATTGTAGTGAATATCAGTGTTCATCAGTGTTCATGCTTCAACAGTTGAATTGTCATTCACCCAGTGTAAGAAGTACTAACGTAAATATGTCTGGCATTTCTAGACAAGAGAGTTGTTTGTGTTGTCATACTTCCCAGTCCGTCCCTTGATTCCCGCTCCAACATTTTTCTCCAGATCCCCTTGTGATTCTTGCATCACTCAACAACTGCCCCGGATGCAGTAGATACCCAGCAGGGACTATATATGAAACGATGGCACCGATGCTGCCTGATTAATATGCTCCATTGCCTCGTAGGGCCAGACCCCAGACTCGCTACCACCGACCATAACAACGGTCTATGAGCCCCAGTGTTCCACCTTGAAACACTCCTTGGAAGTATATGTCAACAAAGGGTGTTATAATATGTATGTTAGGGATAATTAGTTGGAAATAATTATCCCATGTTCGGTAGTGGACCCAGGTATCTGCTGGTTTCAGTATTAACGTGTATAATGAGTAAAGTCTTGTGTCTGTACTGTAATGCCACGTACCACACTGGTTTGGAAACAGAGTAGTGGATGAATGGAACAAGTTACCAAATATCATCATTAACTCGAATACGCTGAATTGATTCAAACATAGGTTGGATGCTCATATGAGCAATAGGGGTTGGGTGTAAACGGGACTGCCCAGTATGGGCCAATAGGCCCGCTGCAGTTTCCTCCATTCTTATGTTTTCTTATGTAATCTTCACAAAAGCACCGCAGGGGTCGGTAGTCAGGTCAGGCGGAAAACTGACCCAACCATCTCACCTGGTTACAAATCTTCTTACTTACAAAATTGTCAAATCCTGATCTCACCCTCCTCTGTATATATATTACTTGTTCTGCACTTCTACTTTAGTTTGTGCTCACCCCTGAAAATGTGAATTACACGAAAGCGCTTGGGAACTTCGTGTTTTCTTTTTCCTTGTGGTTATCAGCATATATATATATATATATATATATATATATATATATATATATATATATATATATATATATATATATATATATATATATATATATATATATATCCTCTTATACAGATATATAAAAATATAAAACAAAGAGAGTAAATAAAAACCTTTCTGTTCCCCCTTTACACCATAACACCACAATTCAAAGGCCTCTAACCTCGTTATGCTATATGGTAAATGTTATAAACTCGATTATGCAGCATGTCTGCATGATTGTGTGTGTGAATCAAAATTTATAGGAGCACATAGGGAGATTTGTCAAATAATTAGGTGAAAAATCAAAGGACAATAACCTTCCCAATCTGATGGATGGATCCTTGTCGCTCTTTCCAAGTGTGTTCCATAAGGCCATTGACACAGTCTTTTATCATTCAATGAAGAAGTTCCTGCCTGATTTTCTTTTTTGTGACCTTTCATGTTCATTGTGCGTGGTAAGCGAGGAGTGCTGTCACGTCATATCTAGACTGCTTGCAGCATTTCACATATTTAAATAATCACTAGCAGGATAGTGTGTTAGCCAATAGGTTCACCTGGCGCACCTGTACACTGATGGTTCAATACATTAATAATGATAATAATAATAATAATAATAATAATAATAATAATAATAATAATAATAATAATAATAATAATTATAATACTAATAATAATTGATGTTCAGTCAATTTGACCAAGGAGAGCTAACAAGGCCACGAAATGTTGGTTTCCAGTAATCATTATGCCAGGCGGTCACCCAGGAGACCCAAAGTTGCTGATCGGACAAGAAGCGGTGTTACCAACGTGATACTACTGTACTTGTTGCGAAATGAAAATTGCTTTCAAGAACTAGCAATAGCCGCATTAAGTAAAGCGGAGGTTGAACGTATATTTTCAAGTTACCAATGTGAAAAGTAACGAACGAAATAAACTCTCAACCAGTTTATTATCTGCTAGGTTTGGCAAGGTAAGAGAGGCTTTTTCACGTGATATTTTTCCCTGTCTTTTAAATTTCATTGTATTATTTTTTGTCATCTGCCTCCTCTTTCATTATTCTGCTTTGGCGGTCACCTTTCTCTACTACATCCTCTACTTCCTTGGTAAATATGTTGAGAGATTCTTCATTGTTTTGCAAGTCCATTTCTTCCCAATCTCCTCTTTTGGGTGTTTCAGCAACATTTAGTCAGCAATGTATTTGTAATAGATTATGGTCTGTTATATCAGTAATGGGTCTTTCTTCGTCTTTTCTATACCTTTGAGCCAATCATACGTTGTATTGTTTTCAAATAGATTATCAACAACACTTCTTTCGTTTCTGCAACTTCACGAATATACATTAGATGAGTCCTTACAGTTTTTTTATCACAGTTTTGGAGATCGCTGGCAATGCTTCTATGACATTGTCCTTACTTGTTGATGAGCGAGGTCTCCCACAAACATTCACGCGATCTCCACTGATATCTGTAAGGCAGTGTGTATACATTATTTGAGTGTAGTGGATGTAATGTAGATGATAGTGCATAGTGTAGTCACTGTAGTGGATGTAGTGTAGTCTCGGGCATAGACTGTGAGCTGACCTTCAAAAATAAACCCGGACAACGCCGGGTACTCAACCGAGTATTCATTATTAGTGAAAATAATATAATTCCTGCTCTCTTTCCTCACATAATACATCTAACGTCAAAATTGTTAATTGCAGCAGACATAATAGCTGTTGCAGACTTTCCAGATGTTCTCACAATACTGTACTGTGGGTCACGCCATGTTTGCAGTTTATACAGAGTAAGTAATTAACATGGTACTAATAATGATATAGAGTTAGCATGGACAATAAGACATCTCATCTTTACATAATATTTTTTGTAATGTAACAAATATTGTAATAAGCTAAAATAGATAATATATATTTTAACATACATATCACATATAGGAATATTTGCTTGACTTTTCACTTTTAAAGGCGAAAAAGTGAAATAGCATAGGCACATATATTAATAATATAATCTTAAGGTTATATGGTAACAAGATTGCCATTGAGCGTCTGACTATACGATAATGAGTAGGGCCCATTTGTACATGGTCGCAACATTCGTGAGATTTGTACATTGTTTATCACCCGCAATATATTAAATTCGATAAGATATTTTGTTTACAGATAATTATGGAAAACTTGGCACGGAAGATGGTGCTTGAAGATCAATTTCGCAATTTTGGTTTAAGACATCTCTTGTTACTGTAGAGGAGATGGAGGGCTCGGCCGAGACCTCCTCAGACGAGGACACATCCAGCGTGGCTATCGTCGTCGACCTGAGGTGTCTCACGATGGGACCTCTGATGGGATCCTCCATCGATTCCGAATCCTCCACCCCTCCAAGATGAACGACCGTAGCTAGAGCGGCAGCAGCAGTGGCGGCGGCAGTAGCTGCGGCAGTAGCAGTAACGGCCGTATCTGTGGGCACTCTGTTTTCGTGAAGGGTTGGCAAGATTCTGGGTGAGATCTTACGGAGGTGCCTGGGGCTTTGGTACTCTGGGGGACACTGCAGATACTCTATGGCCTCTGCGCCGCCGCACTGCTGTAGCTGTCCGCTAACGGAGGTCACGTAGGACGGAGGGGTGTCTGGGGATGTGTACGAGGACGCCCCCACAGACGAGGATGTAGCAGCGGGCTTGATTGTCTCGCTGATGACAGTGAAGTAGGATGGAGGAGGAACCTCAGTCTTCATCACATCGTCGTAAGTAGGTGGATGATCCTCGACCTTAGCCCCAGAATCGCCCGGCCGCATGTGCGTCAACACGCGGAGACGGATCTGCAATGTAAACAACGAACATAAGACTGACAAGATAACACGGACCGGGAATATAAATACCTGTTTGTCATAAGAATAATTGTCTGTATCTTGAATTGCAACTAACACCACTACTGGTACTGCTGCAGCTACTGTTGCTATTATTGATACTGCTAGAGGAAGAATAACTGGAGCAACTACTGTCACTTTAGCACCATTATTACTACTACTAACACTACCAGTAAAATTAGCACTAATGCCACATTTAATGTACCTTAATTCATCAATAGGAACACATCCATATCAACCTTACTAATCGTGCTAGTAAAATTGATTTCACTAAGAACTAACACAAGTACCTAACAATAACACCCAAAAGCTAGTGTTTTTAGTAATGCTTTAACGCAGGAAATAGCATGCTGGTGTCTACTGTCGGAAGGTGCCTCTTTATATATATAAAAAAAAAAAAAAGATATGGCGAAAAGTAAGAGCGTAAACATCGTAGTCAAACATTAATCATGACATGCAAGCTCCCCAAAAAGAAACAGATTTAAAATTTATAATTGATTTGTTTTATAAAGAGGTTCTGCGTTCTGGAGGTTCGTATGATATGAGACCCCGGTGGAATTTTAATCACTCACGTGGGTTTGAGTACCCTTGGCTGACCACTTCATAGTGACTGTACTTGAAGAAGAATAACAGGGAAACAGTGCGGGGATATATGATAGAAGTATTTAAGTGGGTGAAAGGAATCAATAAAGGGGATATAGATAAAGTTCTTATAATATCCGAGCAGGATAGGACTCGTAGCAACGGATTTAAGTTGGATAAGTTTAGGTTTAGGAGGGAGATAGGAAGGAATTGGTTCACAAATAGGGTGGTGGACGAGTGGAACAAACTTAGCAACTTTGTAGTAAGTGCTGGAACGCTGGAAAGTTTTAAAAGGAGGCTAGATAGATTCATGGATGATAGAGAGTGGTAGTAACTCTCGACAGGAGCTGCCACGCACAGGCCAAACCGGCCTATTGCAGACTCCTTATTTTCTTATGTTTCTTATGTTCTTATGTAAGGCTGGTGTGGTGAGAATGGTGACAGTAGGGAGTGTGGGTGTCCCAATACCAGGTTCTCGTACACGTGTAACCTCCACCATCATCTACCACAAGCAGAGAGAGCGATATGATCGAGGCGTATAAATGGAAGTAAGGGTAAACAAAGGTGATATAACAAAGGTACTCAAACTATCCAACCAGGAGCGAACTCGTAGCAATGGTTTTAAGTTAGACAAATTTAGATTTAGGCGCGAAATAGAGTAGTGGACGAGTGGAACAAGTTACCAAATATCATCATTAACTCGAATGCGCTGGATAGCTTCAAACATAGGTTGGATGGATATATGAGCAATGGGGGTTGGGTGTAAACGGGACTGCCCAGTATGGGCCAATTGGCCCGCTGCAGTTTCCTCCATTCTTATGTTCTTCTGTGATGGTGTTGTGATAGTGATGGTGTTGTGGTGATGATGGTGTTGTGGACGTATGATGACGGGATAAGAATGAATCTGCTACAGGGGGAGGAGGAGGGTACAGCTGATCAAGTGTTACATTACCTTCTGTGTTCTAAGACGGTGATACTCCACAGTCCCCACCGCTGTGTTAATCACGGGGATAAACATCTGACAACATCCACATCGGTCATAACTCGATTCAAATAACACTCGCTTCTGACAACACTCGCCGGTGACAAAACTTGACTCGAACAACACTTGCGGCTGACAAAATTCGCCGCTGACAAAACTCTACTGACAACAATCTCCTCTGACAACATTCGTCACAGATAAAATTCGACTTTAACAACATTCGCCACTGACAACACACGCCGCTAACAAAACTCGACTCGAACAACACTCGCCGCTGACAACACTCCACTGACAACAATTGCCTCTGACAACACTCGCCACTGACAACACTCGCCACTTATAAAACTCGACTCGAACAACACTCGCCGCTGATAACACTCCACTGACAACAATTGCCTCTGACAACACTCGCCACTGACAACACTCGCCACTGACAACACTCGCCACTGATAATACTAGACTCGAACAACACTCGCCGCTGATAACACTCCACTGACAACAATTGCCTCTGACAACACTCGCCACTGACAACACTCGCCACTGATAATACTCGACTCGAACAACACTCGCCGCTGACAACACTCCACTGAAAACAATCGCCACCTGGCTCATTTGAGGAAATCCATTTTTATTTATGTGTTTCTTAGAATAAATGAACGATACTTAACTATAATAACCTCTATGTTTATCTATCAAAAACTTTCCTTTATCATGCGTGTTCAATAAGACTTCGGCAGGGACTAAGCCACCGGTCCAAGTTAATGAGGTGTTCCTGTGCTCCTCTTCTCCATAACATCATCTTTCGCGCTCTCGTAATTACATTTAGGAATGTTTGTGTGTGTGAGTCAGATTCTGATTCGGCCCCAGGTACGTACAAGGAGTGAGTTATGATGAGGCAGGGAGGGAAGGTCAAGGTCCAGGAGGTGATCACGGCGCACGTCAACATCCATCACCACGACACATGGTGCCTCATTCTGTCCATCCACCACAAGCCGCGCCTGCTCATGTCTCTTAGAAGTGTAGCGGGATACAGCCCGCACTATGGTGCTAATATTAGAATTGTTAAAACAATGTACCTAGGCTATATAAGATCTCTGATAGATTACCACGCACCAGCCCTGGTCCTTCGTGAAGGGAAAGGCGTTGACAAGCTCGAGAAAATGCAAAATAAAGCCCTCAGAATTATCCTAGGATGTCCCATGAGCACTAAAGTACCTAATATGAGGAAAGAACTAGGTATACCCAGTGTTAAAGATAGAATAATTGTAGTCAACCTCATGATAGCCCTGAGGCTTCTGCGTGGTGATCCTGATAACATTGTTTCCTTAAAATTGATAGAATGTATGAACTACAGCTACACATATGAAGATGTTTGGACTAGACCACCTGTACATTGAGACACAACAGCGCTTCCTGCCACCCTGGAGGACAGTTCCCTTCGATATCACAATACCGACATATCCGCCTAAAAAATTAATTATACAAAGCATTTATCTCCAACACACTGCCAAATTGAGAGCTCTTGAACACATACACACTCTACAGACTGATGATAATATCACACAGACCATCTACACTGATGGATTTCTTAACACCGCCTGTGGGAGGGCTGGAAGTGCTATTGTTGTGACTCGACCTGACGGTAATATAATTGAGAAAGGAGTTAGAATTAACAACTGAGCATCCACTCTACAAACTGAATTAGTTGCCATACTCACAGCTATTAAATTCATTGAAACCACTGTTACTGACAGTCTCATCATCACTGACTCTCTATCCTCACTACTTGCCCTTGGCACCCTCGAATCAGGTTGTCACGCTCTTGTCTCTGAAGCCAGACACAAATATGCGTGCCTTGTTGACCGGGGTGTCAAGGTCAAACTGTTGTGGATCCCCTCTCACATAGGCCTCATAAAACATGACAGAGTTGATGCCCTCGCCAAACTCGCGTCTAACAAAGACACCGTTGAATACAATTTGGGTCTGTCAAAAAGAACCCTTAAAACTGTAATTAGGAAAGAACTTATTGATGAGTTTGACGCAAGTAGACTAGTGCAAACAGGCACTAGTCGATCCATAGTTTACCATGATGAGATGTATCAAGTGAAACATGTATATGGAGCAAGTAACAAAATCACTAGATTACAAGATGTTGGAACCGCTAGATTAAGGTTAGGATATAAGTACCTTTGGCAGTAAGTTCTTCAAGCAGATGTAAACAAAACTAAATGTAAAGTGTGTGGCCAGACACATGGCCACACACATGGCCACACACTTGAACACTACGTCCTCGACTGTTTGAAGATAGAACCTTTTAGGGACAGGTCCAAGCACACTGTGTGTGAAATGGCACAACACTTCATCTCTAATGGCAAGATAGCCGACATATTAAGATTGTATCCACTTTTTTGCACTTAGTAACTATATCAGTTCTCATGTACAGACCCAAATACTTCTCACGTAAATGTGAATAACAAAGTGTGAGGCCAGACATACTGCCTCACACGCCTGTTTTCACGCAGTTGTGAATAAGTTACCCTTTATGTACAGAACTAAACAAATAATGTAATTGAAATACTGTGTAACATTCAGTGCCATAATATCCTGACAACGGGGGTTAATTATTATGACCCGTTGTAAACTCTACTCTGTAATCCTTTTGCGCTACCGCTCACAGAATGAGTGTGGGGTGCACAATAAAGTAGCCGCTGTAAGCGGCAAAATAAAAAAAACTTGTCTCTGAGCTGTCTCCACCAGGGCCCCCTATTGGACCGACGAGACCACCCCCGCCTCCCCGTCCCCCACCGACATGCCGGCACCAGGGGCCCAACCTCTCGACGTCCTCCTTGAAGCCGACACTACTGACGTACACGCTATCACAATCACACTAAAAGGTATGTCCCTCAATATTTTCAATGCCTATAGCCTGGCACTTGACACTATTAGGGACCTGCCACGCTTTGCCATAAACAGATAAACTGTACCGGGAATTTTCTCTCCACACACTCATCATTCTGTCACTTTATGTTACTTGCTGACAAAACCCATGACCCTTCAGGCTTTTACGCCCTTAATGCATGAGTCATAAAGGCAAGCATGAACAACGCATGCCTCCCAGATGGGCGCTGTAAACGCTTTTGCGCTTCACCTTGCACAGGATGTAAGGGGATGCCCAATAAACTAGCCCCCTCGGGGACAAATTAAATAGTCACCCGCCGGGAGCTGTGGGACGACGCTCGCATCCATCGGCTAATTAAGCTGTACTAGTGAAGGTTACGGATTACGATGTCCGTCACTGTTGCCACCCACACTTCAATATCACAACGCTCGTGAAGCAGTACGGACGTCAGAGTTACGCAATTGACCTCTCCACATCACCTCTCTATCA